CATATTTACTTCCATACTTGATGCGTATCAACCATTGACTTTGCATGTAAACTAGCTGCATCTGATGCCTCTGTTGCTTGTGGTGTGAACGTAGCATAAGTGGTGCACTTGCCCGCTCTGGTCCCGTACTGTTTGCTAGCCAGTTGCTAGGCTAGGTCTGCTAATGTTAATCAGGGGTAGAATATTTAAAGGACCGATTAAGAAAACAAGCACCAACATCTATGTGGCTTCTGAGCCTCTTGGCTGCTTTAGTTTGGCACCAAGTCTCTAAAGCTTGACGGATTTTCCACCTTGTTTTGTTTCTTTTATGTTTTCTTGGCTTGAACGTGAGAAATGTTACACAGAGCAGAAGCCGTTTCTCACCTTTCATATAGCTGTTACTACCTGAGCTGAATAACATGGCGTTAACCTACTGTTTCTATTGGTTCTTTTCTAATGCACTGACATCATGACCAGAAGTATATATTTATTTATTTTAGAGCCATCAAATTGATAGAACAGTGTTTATATGCTGTATATATTTTTTTCTAATAAAATTAGTACTTTTATTTTGCAGCATTTAAGTCAATCTGTTTGTACTATTTGTGACATTTTTATTTTTTGATAATAAAAAAAAAAAAAAAAAGCTGTAGCTATGACTTTTAAATAAATAATTTATTGGATTTTATAATATATTATGATTCTATGACGGAGTATTTGGGCCAGGCTGAAAAATGTATTTTTTTTTTTTTTAGATTAAAGTAATATTACAAGAATAAAGTTGTAAAGTAATAAAGTTAAAAAATAACGAGAATGAAGTCGTCATACCACAGCTCGTTTCAGAAAGAAAGCTTCGAGCTCCGACCAGCTCCACCAATCAACAACCTGAGTCCTCTTTGACCTGATTCCCAATTTGATTCTGCTGCTTAAATATTTCCTTATTTGTCAAACCGATACCAAAGTATAACTTCACATGATGCTCGAAAATCCTCATTTTAGGGAAGAAAGTGCTTTATGCTCGTAATGTTGAGTCTTGTAATTTTATGACTTGATTTTTGTGATGTTATGATTTTATTCTTGTAATGTTACAACTTTTTTCTTATAATTTTTTTTATACTGTTGTTGCGAATTTTGTTCTCGTAATTTTATTACTTTATTCTCATATTAAGACTTCTCAAAAAAAGAAAATCTGTAATCTGTCCCTAATATTCCGTCGTATGATTTTTTTACAGTTCTTTTATAATGTGATTTTATGTAACAAATTGTCCTAAAGCAATGAAATAACTATTATTCCAATGCTTTACTAATAGTCTAAGGATTATAAGTAGATTTAATGCTTCAAACAAACAACATGTTATAGTTTGATACAGATAATGTGACAGATTGCCTGCAGCTTTCAGCAGGTTATTCCACTCAGCAGCCTCTTCTCTGATTGTACAGTCAGAATATAACATTCTGTTTTTTTTTTAAGTACATGAATTGGATTTGCATTTTTTTTATCTTTAACTTGCATGTTTTATTTTGGAAATGTTCTTAATTAGTTTTAACAAACCACTCATGTCTTCTGGGAATGCAGAGCATGAAGTGTTTAACAGCTTAAAAAACCTTTTGGTTTAGAGTCGCCTTTGACTGTTACCTGAAACATAGTTTTTAAGTTTGTTGTCCTGCTTTTACCTGCATCTGTTATGCCAATGTGATGTACTTTTCTCTGATTTTTTTCTTTTCTTATGCATTGTTTAATGTACCACACTTTGAAAAATCTTTTTACTGAAATGTACAAATAAACTTGCTGCGGTTTAATAAGTTATCATTTCCATTGATTGGTAAGAATTGTCTCTTTGCCTCTTGATGTTCTGTTTGTATTTTCTTTTTTTCTCTATTAAACACTCTTAAAATAATACAAACTATTGAATTGGTGAAGTTATGATGGATTATCAGATTAACAGGTTCAGGTTCTATGAAGTAAAGGGTGAAGCAGAGGTCTCCAACTGAAGTTTTTAAGAGCTGTCCTGCATCTTTTAAGATGCGTTCACATCAAACGCCAACAAGGCGAGGGAGGCAAATTATTTACATCTTATTCCAATATAAAAGTAATAAGGAGCAAATCAATGGGCAGTAATTAAAAAAATGTTTTGTCAGATTTCAAAGCTGCAAATTGCATATAGAAAGAAGCAATAATGCCTGTAAGCATGGGGAGAAAATTTTCTCAGAGACAAAGCTATTTTATGTCATGTTAAATTATTTGGTCATAATGCTGTTTTTTTTTTTCAAAGTAGATGAGCGGTTTGTATAGCAGCTCTTACGGTAGCTTATTTGGGATGATTCAAGTACTCTCCCAGGTGGCTATAGATACATTGCAATAAGACAGGTGATATCAAATATAATCAGACCTATGTAGCATTTCTATTTGAAAATATCTACTGGACTGGATAAAAATTTCAAAAAGAAGAGACAACATATGTTGGATTAAAGTTCCAATATATCAAACATGGATTTTATTGTTATACAGTAGTAGCCATTTAAAATTTAACCACTTTCCTTGATGGGCCCTTGGCTGTTCCCCTACAATTCCTTTTTAAACATCAATCTTTGTACTAAAATGTTCTGTAATGATTTGTGGACAATAAGATCTAAAGAGAAGTGAAAGGGTGGAGTCAGAGTAAAACAAAAGGCATGCCCAGGAGAAGGCCAGTGGCTGGAAGTTGGAGGGGACACATAAAATTGGTAACAGCCAACCGATTTTACGATGTAATCTTTTAATAAGACACTAAAGACAAACACTGTTTGGGTTGTAGCCAGCTTCCTGGTTTTCTTCCATATTCTACAGAGACCTCTGCAGGCCAAATCCAGTATTATATTTACTTTGCGGTAATTTCAACACATCTTGACACAAACAGCATTCAAATTTGGTCTTCATCAAATAACCAATTTATTTTCTTATAATATCTTACTCTTCTTTCTTTAGATCTGAATCAGTTCTTATGCTAATCGTCTGTTCTGAGAGCATTGCGTAGACTCCTCCAGAACTCCGGTCTCCTCTCTTCGTCCTGAGGCCACTCCAGATAGGTTGTGGAGCTCATGAGTTTGCGAAGTTTGCAGAATCGTTTGGGTATGTCGTCTTTACTCAAGGGCTCCAGCAGGATCAAGATGGCAGCATCTCCACGAGCTTCAAACAACCAGAAGTGGGAGAAGTCCAGTTCATATCGGCACCAGTCAGACTGGATGAAGTTCTGGGAGAGGACAAAGACAGTATGATGGCTGCGCTCAATGGAACTCATGATATTGTCCATTATCCAGTGTCCGGGAAGGAAGTCCCGCTTGTGGAGACAGAGAGTCAGTGGGGATGCTAGATCTGTTGAGTCGCTGTAACAATAAAAAAATGAAGTTAGATTATTGTTCAGTTTTTGTCCATTATTCCTAATATGCTTTAAACTAAATTTCTTAAAATACGAGTATATATATCACCAAATTAACATCTTTATAGTCTTAAATGTGTTCCCTCATGACAACGCAAATCATGCCTATTTTTGTGTGGAGGATATACAAATATACCACCCAAAAAACAATGGATCAAACCTTAAAGTGATTGGGGGAGCATTTTTTTGCGTCAGCAGATTAATGTTTTTTTTTTTTTACAACCACTCTAAAACTATCAGTCGCACAAGCAATTTACTCATTTAAAAAGGGTCCAGGTTTGCACATCTATTGAGCATACACCATTGCTAAAACCCATTCAGTTAAGATGTGATGTGGCAAAGCACGGTGAAAACCAATCAGTGCTAACAAATCTATGCCAACAGATTCTTACATTCATGAACCTTACAGTTAAGGAAGCATTGCAGCAAACGAAGACGTTACCTTGGCTCCTCCAACTCAGGTACCAGAAAGTTTTCCACCCAGCTAGCATCTCTTTCACTGTAGGAAATAAAGGCATCAAAGGATACCAATGCTCCTGTCCCCTCAATTTCTCTTTGTCGCCGATGTCGCTGGTAATCTCTTTTTGCCTTGAGCCATGCCCAAGACATCTTCAGGTACCAGAAGGCATGACATCGCCAAAGTAGGACAGAAACCAGCATCCCCAAAAAAAGGGCGACCCCACAGCTGACAGACACAAACAGAACTGTGTGGCATTGGATAATAGGGAGGGTAACTCGGTCTACTGCATCTCCCTGCAGGTTAAGAGGTGAGTCACAGACATAACTTTGGTCTCCATCTGTTATCTTCACACCCCTACTTCCAGCAAGTAGCGAGCGGAGAAAGGTGACAAATCCACATGAACAGACAAACTTGTTGTGACCCGCCTCCAGGTTCTCAAGTCGTCTGTATGACTGAAGGTCCGAAAGGCTGAAGACATTGAGTGTATTTGACTGTCAAAGTATAAACGAAAGTTAGGGCAGCCTGGATAACAAAGAGGAAACAGAATATGGCATATCAGATTGCCTCTTACCTGTATTTTAAGTGTTTGCAGATTGGGGTAGTACCCCCCTGCTGGTAACCTCAGGAACTTGTTTCCAGAGAGGTGAAGCTCTCTCAGAATTGGCAGTTCCAGCACAAATTCTTTCAGGTTATTATAGCTCATGTCCAACACCTTTAAACGAGTAAGTATGAAATAAAGACAATGTATATTTCCAATAGGGCAGTTTACTTTCCTTGATCAAGTCTCTTTACCTCCAGAGACTTTGGCAGACAGGGTGTGATGGTGGTTAGCTTAGCCCTAGAGATGTTGATGTATCTAAGGGAGGCTGGCCAAGAACAACTAGGGGGCATCGAGCTGTAGCTGGTTCTGCTAATGTCCAGGTGGGTTAGTTTGGTGAGCTTGGTGACCAAACGGCTCATTGTTGACAAAGACTGGGCACAAGTAGACACATTTTCAAGGGTGCGCACTTTTACACAATTTTACAGAAAGTTTTAATTGAATTTAATGCTGATACCTTTAGAGGGTTCCCACTAATATTTAAAACTCTGAGCTCCTCGAGTGTTTCTTCGTTGCCACACAGCATGTAAGAAATAGTCAGGTCGGTCAGCAGGTTGTCAGACACATCTAAGTATTGCACGTTGACCATCATTTTTGTTAGATAACAGGACAGCAGGAACATCTGAGGGTAAAAATTGATAATACTGTGTGATTTGAGTAAAACATCTTGACATTCTTACATACAATTAATAAAAAAAGAAATCTATGAATAACAATCAATTAATAAAAAGGTTTAATGATCTAAGAGCATGTGTGCTCAACATTGTAGATTTTTTAATAGGACTCTATTAGGATCTTACATCCTACCATTTTCAATAGTATGACTTGCCAATATCTGTCAAATTGTTAATCTTGTTCTGCACATTTCAGATTTTGTTGACATCTCTTGTCTAGAGCATCTTAAAGGTGAGTGGCAGCCTAGTGGTTAGGGCATAGGGCTTTGAATCCTGAGGTTGTGAGTTCAATCCCCCACTCCACTCTGGCTTGCTGAGCAAGACCCTTAATCCCACATTGCTCCCTGGGTGCTGCAAATTGCAGCCCACTGCCCCCCAAGGGGATGGGTTAAATGCAGAGAATTAATTTTGTTGCTCTGTACTTGTGACAGTGGAATGACAATAAAATGTAATTATTATTAAATAATTTAGCCGCATATTTTGGTCAGTTAGGTCATTCTCTCAGGAAGTCATTGTTTTGTTAATGACTTAAATGCCTGTGCTCTTTTAGTCTGTTAGCAGTCAGTGATGTCATAAAATAACAATTTCTTTCATTAAAGAAGATTTTAGATTTAAACTGTCTGGAAAAATACATTTTTCGTATTTTCCATTTACAGTAAGTCAAGTTCATGATGCTGCAACCTCTTTCTCTGTCATGGTTTTTTTAGTGTTTCTTGCCTTCAGTATTTTTGGTTCAGTATTTTTGGTTGGTTGTCTGTCGTCTTCTTTTTGCTGTTGTTCTGCAGTCTGCTTTCTCTCTCTATTGTCTCATACAGGTGTGAAAGAGGAGTTCTAGGAGTTATTGTATATCTACTGTGTTGTCTTTTTTGCCTTTTATTTTATTTTTTCTCTTTTCATAAACTCTTTTCTGACTCTGTTTCTCCCGACTCTCTTCTAGAATCTCTTACTCTCTCCCCTTAGTTCTTATCCCCTTTCTTTCTCACCTCTATTTCTATCTCCTTGTCAGTTTCACTACCCAAATAATTTTCAGTTAAGTTTCATATACAAGTACTAAGCGTAACCATATGGCAACAGTCATTATGGTTGCCTGTGAAAGCAAAGCTGTTGGCCAATCATCTAGCTCTGGGACATCTATTCCCAAAGCCACACTGGCAAAACAGGACACAAAAGAGTAAACCTCTGCAGCAGATTTGTTTTCAACTATAAAAGGAATAAAAGTATGTTCAGTTTTTATATCTGCGGAAGGTGGATACTTAAAATAAGGAATACATTTTAATCTAGGAATTATTACATGATATGAATTTCAACTTTACTCATTTTTAGTGACGTATTATTTCAAAGGGATATATGAAACATAAAACCATTCAAAACTGAGCCAGAGCAACCGTATTGCAGCTCTTCATGAGAAATGTTTATATTTTTCAGTTTTAGCAAAATGTGGGAGGAGCTAACATTTTTCCTACATGAAAAATCTCGTTTTCAGTTCCTGCATTTGTGTGAAAAAATTGCAATGCTTTGCTTTGTGCTTCTTTAAAAAGGCGTAAAGACATTTTATCAAACTAGAAAAAAATTTTTTAACAAGAAATGTATCGAGCATAAATGCTTTTTGGATAAAATTACATGATTACTAACTTTCTGAATGAAATTTAAGAATTCAAACTACAGCATGAACCAAGCTGACCTAAGTTTATTGACTCAAATTACCTATTATGAAGAAAGAGTTTTATTAGTTTGATTCCCACCTTTGAGTTTATGATGGACAGCTTCCTCTGGTTCTGCAACAGAAACTGCACCTCTGAAGTCATTGCAAACTTTAAAATGTCTAAAATTGTGACATCGCTGACAAAGAACTCGTCCATGTTCCTGAGTTCTGTCCGATTAGCGCGTACCCACCTAAGACAATAACAGGACAGGTATTAAATGCCAAATACTTAGATTTGAACAAACAATAAAGCCCAAAATTGTTCATACCCACATACTAGATTTATACTGAAAATATTCTATTTTTTATTAAAAAAATCTATTTTACAAGAATAGTTTAATTAACTGGAATTAATAACAATTTTTGAACGTCACCTATCAGAGTTCATGCTTGAATAATGGATGGATGGATTAATAGATATTGGCTAAAACATCTGGGATGTGGTGCATAGCATATTCCGATACATTGGTTACTCACCTGCCCTCGCCTGTGAGAGTCAGACCCACAATCTTTAGGGATCGCAGCGGGACTCCATCAATCAGTGTCAGCAAAGAGACAGTTGCTTCATCAGACAGTGAAAAGTTACGGAGAGACAGATCTCTAAAGTGACAAACCACAGGAGAATCATTCACTGGTTTCTCTATTTTTTTCTCCATTTTAGCAATAATAACAAAATTTATTTTTTGTCAAACCTGATCCTCTTAATTATCTTTCTTAAAGGCTGAGTAGACACATAATGATTCAGATGGAGGTCTACCAGAGTGAGCTTAGTCTCAGGGTAACACACGTCAAGAAGCAGAACCTCAGCTAACGTTGTGTTCGTTGAAAACGGGCCATAAAGACTCAGGGTTGCATGACCAAGAGGCCAAAGGCCTCCAAAAGTACCGGAGTCATACCTGCAAAGAACAGAGTCAAAGGAAAAATAAAGATAGAAAAATACAGCTAATAGATCAGTAGAGGTTGGTTCTTTGATTTTCAGTTGTTTCTATGAATACATTGTCAAGCATTTATTTATTGGCGTTTTGCTTAGATTCTTGTTTCCTTCTCATCTATTGTTCCTAATTAAGAGTCCAATGAGTTGACTGCTTCTTGTTTTTTCTTTACATTTGTAGATTTTGTTTAACACTGGCAACTGCTTGGACATGTACAAATGAGCTAATAGTACAGATCATAGTTCTGGTGTAGATCAGAGTTTTTATTTGTTAAGAAAATATAGATCTGGTCGAGAAAACAAAGAGCAATAGTCAGTTATCTGTACTACAGCAGTCAGAGGTCATTCATGTTGAAAGGCTTCTAACTAGAGTAAATCTTTATATTGCCTTTAGTTCTGTAACAAAATAATCTAATGAAAAACTTGGCCAAATTAACCAACTGCCAGAGAGGATTTCAGAGTGGACCAGTAGGGCACTTCTTCTTTCCATGGTTGCTACATGTTTGCTAAGGACTGCAGCATAAATACACAATGCAATTTTCTAGTTTCATTAGAAAAGCGGCTTTGATGGGGAAGTGGGTGTTACAGTGGGAATACACATTTTCCCCAGTGATGTTAGCCTTAAGTGTTTCAGTCAAGATTCTTTTCATTCTAGATCTGAGATGCATACCGCCTTTGTTTCTTTTTTCCCTCTCCCTCAAATGTGGAATTCTCAAGTAAAGGAAGCCGCTGGAGCCACAGAAAACATATTCAAAACATAAAAAAGCTGAAAAATCAACTGAAAAACACAAGTATCCCCAAAGGGTTTGGAGAATATTTAGTATAACAAGCAGTTCTGGGTGCTAAGAGCAACACTGTAGAGAAATGAGGACTGGATACCTGGCCAAGTTGTTGGCTTGCACAGTGAGCTCGTCAAGGTGGGTGACTCCTTTAAGATCCTCTCTATTCAGTTCCTTCAGATCTTGACCTCCAAACATCAGCTTTCTCAGTCTGACAAGTCCAAGGAACAATGGAGGAGAACCCAGGCAGCTGGAGGAAACCAAGGAAGATATTAATCTTCTTGATTGTGCCTTTCCAGGTATTGTGGCACAGAAAGGATTTAAATCAGGCTTCCTCAAACAGTCCTTAAAGGTCAATGTCCTGTACCTTTTAGATGTGCCTGTGCCTCAACATAGCTCAGACAAACTATCAGCTGATTAGCAGGACCCTGGAGAACTTCACTGCATGCTGAGGAGGTGTCGGTTATCTCTACCTTCCTCATACCTCAACCAAAGTAGTTGAGTTATCTTGAGCTATTTTCTATAGCTATGCTGCTATATGTTAAGGCTGCTGGAGGACAAATGGACCACTTTTCATCATTTTGTTTCATTCTATCTCTTTTCTCTCATTCTGCAGGATTTGTTAAGTTCCATCCATATTCTCTCTGCTCTCTCTGTCATAGCAGCTTTGTTCTGTTCGTTATCAGCTGTGACACCGTCTTGGATTGAAATATCAGCTGTGCTGCTGCAATCCACATCTCTGTTTATAGATGTTGGAGCTGGAAATGAGGTACTCGGATTTAGATTTAAGCATAGGGCCTTTTCCAGTCAATGGCTACTCCCTCCCCCTACCCACTATTCATTCTATTTCCGCTTGCCCACGAAGAGTAAGCCATATCAAGTACCATCTGAAACCAACTTTGGACAAGTGTGAGTGGCTTATAAGGCTCTGCACAGCAAGCTAATCATCTCTGATCTCATCCACCTGTAGGTTCTGCTTTATATTTGGTCCAGCCTAGCTATCGCGGCCAGATCATTGTTTTGTGTTTGGTTCTGTTAGTTTTGGTTATGTTCCAAGGTTCGTGTCCTGGTTCCTGGCGGCCAGTGGATTGAGAGGGTTTCATGTATGTCTTGTCCTCTGATCATGCCCTGGTCCTTCTCCTTGGAGCCCTCAGGGTTTTGGCTCGGAACACAGAGGAGGTCAGTTTTATTCCCATAAGCCTGGCTCCAAGGAGGAGACCAGTTTAAAGTCCTGCTGAATCCTGCTACGTCTTGTCTCTGTTTCCTCAACCACTGAGCCACTGTCTGTGTGGGCACGCTCCTGCTCCCGTCTGGCTCTGGACTCTGAACTTGCCTGAAAGCTCTGTGGATTCCTGGAACCCCGTTTCTGTCTGTTCCTGTGTGGATCTGAACCTTTTGTAGACCTGAGGACTCCTGGATCTAAGAACTGTCCTGTTCTGACCTGGAGCTCCATGTGGTTGCTGCTTGGATCGGGGACACCCTTGACGGCTCTGTGTTGGATCACGTTCGCCAGTCCATCGGATGGGTCCTGGCTTCCATGCAGAGAATGGACTGAACTGTTTAACCAGACAGTGTCAGTGATTGAGCGATGCCCCGCCCCCTTTTCCCAGCAGTCGTTGCAGGTCCTCAGATCCACAGCCGCCTGTTTCTGTTCTGTTATGTTCTGTTTTGTTAAACTTTCCTACTGGCTGTGTCACTTTGAATACTGGGTCTGTCTGTCCTGTTTTATTACACCAATGATCCGGGCCCATGGTAAGGTTTTGGATGTCATTATTTAAAGATACTTTTTCTACATAATGCAGACTCAAAACTGGTCGGAAATCAGATCTCCTCACCTGTATGGGTTGTTGAGCAGGTTGAGCTGCTGAAGAACCTCCAGCTTCTTAAACCACTCGTAGTTGAGAGTCTTCAGCTGATTGTCAGACAGATCCAGCTCCTCCAGGCTCCACAGAGCATCGAACGCTGATGGATGGATCACGGCTAATCTGTTACCTTCAGGATACAGACTCCTGGATTAGACATATTTCACAGGTTATTTCCATTGGGATGTATCAGATCTCATCATGGTTACCGTGGAGATCCAGAACTCTCAGTTTTGAGTGTTCCAACAGGTCGTTTTGGGTCACCAAGGTGATGTTGTTGAAGGAGAGGTCAAGGCTGAGAGCTTGGTCCGTTACCATGGGAACATGAGTGAAACCCGAGTGGGAGCAGTTACAGAATCGATAAGGGTTGCAGCGACTGCAAGGCAGCCTGCCATCGTCCCCATTTTCCATCTGACCCCAGATAGGTGAAGAGAAGAGGAGCAGCGCCAGTATCCACAGATGTTTCATACTGTTTATAAAATTAGGTATATTTTTACCTGGAAAAGGCAGAAATAGGAAATTAATTCAAAATCTTTAGCTTCTACAGATGGATTATAAAACAGAAGTGAAAATCCAGAAGCATGTGTGAGTAAATAATTTTTTGTGGGAACAATAATCTCCTTTCCACCGTCGACCCCAACTGCCTCTCACAGACACGTAGCTGTTTAAGAGGGAAGTGCTTCTGGGGTTATGGCGGTTTTTTTATGTGACTTAGGATCAAACTGCTGCAGACAAGAAAAAAAATCACTATATAACTTTTACACTTTAATCGCTGTTTATATTTAAATATTTTAATTGATAAAAACATTTTTAAAAAACCTAAATAATAATAATAATAATGAATTTTATTTGTAATGCACTTTACATTGAATTCAAATCCCAAAGTGCAACAGTTTAAAAAGGGAACATTAAAACAAAGGTTAAAAGACCATAATATTAAAACAGAGTAAAAGACAATTATTAAAATCAATACATTTGAAGGCATACGTAGCCTTTTATAAAATCTAAAAATCAGCAATAGAGAAATGGCACACCATATAACCTTTTATGTCAGCAAATTGACAAAGACTGCTGGATATTTATTACAGCATGTTCTTAATAAAACTGAGGAAAGTATGATTGCTTCTGATCTAAGACTGTGAGCCAGATGATTGAGAATTTGCACATTAAATAATAATAATGTTTTAAAACAGCATCTATGGAGAGAAAAGCAATAAGCTGTGAAATCTGTGAAAGCTTTTTGGAAACACAAAAGAAAAAAGTCTTCATCTAATGTGAAAGCTAATTTATTTAAGTCACTGTTCTGGAAAAAGGAATACAGCTAAGAGCAGGTATAAAATAAACTGTAACAGTATTTATGTCCAAATGTCAGACTGTCTGGGTCATTTTTCTTACCTTAATATCTGCTGAGCTGAGGAGGATGAAAATGAAGTGAATAAAATGGTTTCTCCTGTCTTAGAGAGGAACTATAAGTTAAAGTGTACTCTGAAGCTGTTAAAAGAGGAAGTGAAAATACCTCAGGTCCATGCCTTATGCAGACCATGCAAATATGTCCACCTGTCTTTCTCCATTTTTTATAGTAAATATAGTAAACACATTATCTCATTCTGTTAAACTTCTAATTTGAATTTATTCAAAATAACAAATAAGCTGGGTAATGTTTTAATTGATTCACAATCAATATTAGCTTTAAAAAAGTACTTTTCAGTCAAATTTAGGCTTTGTTTTCTATTTTTCAGAGTATTTAAAATCAGCAGACATCTTGTTGTCAGTATCTGCACTTGTAGATAATCTTTTACATCTTAACACTGAGAATAGTTTCTGTTATATATAGTGTTGCGCCAATGCCAATGATGAGCATGGATTTGAAGCAATGTCCAACCATCAACCAGTTCAAAAACAAATATAAACCAA